TCAGGTGTTCTGGTCCACCTGTCCTCAGGTGTTCAGGTCCACCTGTCCTCAGGTGTTCTGGTCCACCTGTCCTCAGGTTTTCTGGTCCACCTGTCCTCAGGTGTTCTGGTCCACCTGTCTTCAGGTGTTCTGGTCCACCTGTCCTCAGGTGTTCAGGTCCACCTGTCCTCAGGTGTTCTGGTCCACCTGTCCTCAGGTGTTCTGGTCCTCTCCTCCTGGTCAATCTGCTCCTGTCTCAGGTCAGAAGGTTCCTCCTCCAGATGTTCAGCAGGATTTGGATCAGGGCTCAGAGGGACTCTTCAGAACAGTCCAGTGTTTGGTTCTGACTCCAGAATGCCTTGATGGTCTTGAGATTTTTCTGTACCCTGCATGGATTCAGGATCTCCTGACCCAGATGCAGCAGAGCAGAACAGAACCGAGCCTCCTCCAGGCTCTGTGGGTCCAGGGTTCTGTGGTTTGTCTCAGTTTTGGGTCTGAACATCAAACTGATGGGACTGGAGGTCAAGAAGCTCCTGTTTTGTCCCATCTGTCCAAAAGACGTCCTCCAGAAGCTTCTCACTGTGTAGTTAGATACATGTCCAGTCTGTCTTTTTAGAACTTGGTGTCCTCGGTTGTCGTCCATCATGTCCACTTTGTCTCAAAGAGACCAATGGTGAGATCTGACTCTGATGACCTTTGACATTGGACTTCACCTTTGATCTCTTTGTAAAATGTTCTTGGCTCTTTGGTTATCATTTATCTGTCTCTTCAATTTGTCTTCGGTTGTCCTCTTGTGGACACGTCCTGGCAGGTTGTCTCCAGTCCTGTGGACCTTCTGAATAATGTGCAGCTGTAGTTAGAGGAACATCAGACTGATGAGACGTTCTGATAGTCTTTACCTTCAACATGTCAGTCAAGCTGCTGAGACACTGTCCTCAGCTTCCTGAGGTCCATGTTGAGTGTTACACACCGGGACACCAGACAGCCCTGTGACTACCTGCCCGTTGACAGGTACAGTTTACAGACTGAAGACACGTCCTAGTTTCAGTGACTCCTGTGGGTTTGTCTCTAATGAAAAACATTTAGACACAAATGTAGTTGTTTGATGTGAAAACCTGCAGGTGCACAGCATCACTGACTGTAGGCCTCTTCACATTCTTATAAAACTACACTACCCATGGGGCAGTGGTGGTCGTGACATCACTGCTTCTGATTGGATCACATTCAGGGGATCGAGTGATTCACGAGGAGCAACGGTTGGTTTCACGTCAGGCTCCAGTTTTGTTTTTAAAGTTTTGATGAACTTCAACAAACTTCCTGAATAAAAACATTCTGCTTAAAAAAAATATAAAAACACGGGGACCGTCGCCATGACGACCCCAGTTACATCCTAGAAACTAGAACCAGTTATCTAGAACTTATCTAGAACTTGTTAACTAGAACTTTTCTAGAACTTGTTAACTAGAACACACATCTATATGGTGGTGGTGCAGAGGTTAAAGAAGGTGGGCCTGTGATGGGAAGGTCAACGGTTCAACTCCCCTGACTTACAACATAAAAAATAAATAAAAACTGTGTGAAAGGTGAAGCACCCACACCTGCCTCCACCCTCATTTGCCCCAGTCTGGGCCCTTGAGCAAGACCTTGAACCCCCACCATGTGCTCCCCGGGCGCCCTAGCTGCAGCTCTCTGCTCCACACAGAGGCTGTGGTTGAGTCATGAAGAACATCTGGAGTAAGAACAACTGGGTCTTTGTGTGAGTTAGTTCTGTGGTGACGCCTGAAGGAGAATTATATAAATATAATTAGAGGTCAACTCACCTTTACCTGTCTGCTGCTTCTATTATGTACATTTTTCCTTCTGACCTTTGGGTGTTTGAAGTGAACACACACACACACACACACACACACACACACACACTCGGAGTGAATGTCACGCAGCGCTTCCTTTCTGCTGCTCTGTGATTAGCTGCAGGAACCTCTGCCCTGCTGATAGAGCTCCGTCTCATGTGTCCATGTTGGCGGACCTCCAGAACAGAAGTCGGACCATCGTGGTGGGCGGAGCTCTGCGTTCAGCCACTTCCTGCCTCCATTGTTCCTTTGTTCTGTGGGAAAGGGTGTAGGGTGTGTACACGTGTGTGTGTGTGTTGAAGGAAACGGGGCGTTGCTGTGCCCGGTCGAGTCTCGATGGTAGTAACCTTCTGAGTCTCTGGTTCTGTGGTGCTGGTGGTTCTGGTCTCTGGAGGCCCAGCTGACCTTCAGGAGGATCTTGCAGGAGATGAAGCTCCAACACTCCATGGAGGAATGCTTGTCACCCGCCGCCTTTAGACTGAGCTTGTGTTCTGATGGGAGGGGCGGAGCTGGAGCCGTTTGGGTCGAACCTTGTAAATGATGTGAGCCCTCAGAGCAAGTGTTGAGGATCACTCTCAGCTTCTGATCACACCTTTACTCACCCACTGCTCTGTAGGTTCTGCACGGTGGACAATGTTTCCCAGCAGTCATCGGCTCGATGCTCTGGAGCTCTCCACCACAGTAACAAGATATTTAGCTAACACAAACGACAAACACAGACATGGCTCTTTTTGTCTTGAGCGGTGGTGAGGAGTCTTCTGTGATCTTCGTTATTTAGATGTTTGGGGCTTCGCTGTGTCGTGAAACTCTGAGGGTCTTTAGATAGAAACTTTAAAAATCTGTCACTGAAGGGTTCATAATTATTAAAGAAAAAACATTAAAGTTTTTATCTCTCCAGCTACAGTCGGACTTCGTCAGTGTTTCTATAAATGTGCACCCAAACAAGTTCAATCTGGTCCTCTGGACATTCAAAAAAACCAAACGAAGCAAAAAAGTGTAGAAACGTTTCGTCTCTCATCCGAGAGACTTCCTCAGTCTGGATGAAACGTTTCTACATTTTTTTGCTTCGTTTTGTTTTTTGAATGTCCAGAGGACCAGATTGAACTTGTTTGTATTTTTCTACCTGGATTATTGAGCAGCATCAGGATATAAATGTGCACGTTTGTGTGCGTCGCTTTCAGTCCGTTTGATCAAAGAACAGGAAGCGTCTCAGAATATTTTAACAGTTTTACACTTTGGTGGCATAACGAGTGTTAAAGTTTGTCTTCTGCTTCGTTAAACAGTCCTGACGTGACTGAAGCTATAGGAACCTGTTAGAAACCAGAGGCCTTGGACTGGGGAGGCTCCAGGAACCAGCTTGTTTTTGTTAATAATAAAACAAATTTAGTTTTATTTGATGTAACGAAAAACAGAAAAAGACAAAATCAGATTCAGCTCCAACACTGAGAAGCTGCAGGTGGACCAGCTGGAGGTGGACCAGCTGCAGGTGGACCAGCTGTAGATGGACCAGATGCAGGTGGACCAGCTGGAGGTGGACCAGCTGCAGGTGGACCAGCTGCAGGTGGACCAGCTGCAGGTGGACCAGCTGGAGGTGGACCAGCTGCAGGTGGACCAGTGGCAGGTGGACCAGCTGCAGGTGGACCAGCTGCAGGTGGACCAGCTTCTTTGGTCCTCCATTTGTTCAGCTTCCTTCACACCGAGCTGAGATCATCATTAAATGGTGAAAGTCGTCTGTCGACTCAGTTTAGGCTCCTCCCTCTGAGTTCTGGCAGGTGTTTGTGTCTCTGCCGTCAGGACGAGATGTCTCTTCACGAGAACGCAAACGTTTCCTCTTCCTGTGGTGGGTGGAGACTTGAATCGGAGCAGATTGTGGCGTTTGATGCTAGAAAACGTGTTTTCTGGCGGTTTCTGTGCTGCAGGGCCGTCAGCGGTGGTCGGCCTGGCGGTCTCCTCCATGACCTGCAGCAGCCTGGGCCTTTCCTGGCAGCCCGGGCCCGGCAGGACGCAGCGCTTCAGGCTGCAGCTGCAGGACCAGTCGGGTACGTCTGAGCGTCAGAACAAACTGAACCTTCTGTCCAATCAGGCTGTCAGAGTCATGGGACAGGTTTCTTCTCCGTCCTACAGGTCTGCTGAAGAACGAGACGTTGGAGAGCACGGCAACGCAGCGCACGCTCTTCGGCCTGACGCCAGGACGACTGTACCGCGTTACCATGGTGACGGAGGCTGGCAAGCTGCAGAACAACGTGACGATAGAAACTCAGACAGGTAGAGACCGAGGAGCGATGGAAACAGAAAAATAAAGTTTAAACCAGAGAAACTTCTGTGAATGTTTGGTGTGACCGCCGAGCGCTGAGCTGAACAAAGCTCAAACAACAACAGAAGCTGAAGGCAGCTAAAGGCAGCTGAAGGCAGCTGAAGTCAGTTAAAGGCAGCTAAAGGCAGCTGAAGGCAGCTGAAGTCAGCTGAAGGCAGCTAAAGGCAGCTGAAGGCAGCTAAAGGCAGCTGAAGGCAGCTGAAGTCAGTTAAAGGCAGCTAAAGTCAGCTGAAATCAGCTAAAGTCAGCTGAAGTCAGCTAAAGTCAGCTGAAGTCAGCTAAAGTCAGCTGAAGGCAGCTGAAGTCAGCTAAAGGCAGCTGAAGTCAGCTAAAGGCAGCTGAAGTCAGCTGAAGTCAGCGGAAGACAGCTAAAGTCAGCTGAAGACAGCTAAAGTCAGCTGAAGGCAGCTAAAGTCAGCTGAAGGCAGCTGAAGTCAGCTAAAGTCAGCTGAAGGCAGCTAATCGGAGGCTAAAGAGCCGAAGTAACACTCTCTGTTCCTTCTCAGCGCCCTCTGCCGTTTCCAACATCACTGCCGACAACAACGGCACAAGCTTCTGGTTGTCATGGAAACAGCCCACAGGCGACTTGGACGCGTACGTCGTCACCTTCTCCTCCAACGACACAATCGTCCAGGAGACGACTCTGCCTCGGGACGCCACGGACGTCTCAGTCCACCACCTGACTCCGGGCTCGGCCTATCAGGTTACAGTGATGTCGGTGAGCAACGGGCTGACGAACCAATCAGAGTTCTCCATCAGGACAGGTGAGTCAGCGAGATGAAGCTCTTTTTTCCCATCGTCTCACTTTTCATTTGTCCCGTCCTGTCCATCTTGTCTCCAGCTCCGGTGCCCGTGTCTCTCCTCTCTTTGTCTCCCTCCTCCTCCGGCGGCCTCCTCCTGACGTGGTCTCCTCCTGCTGGTCGCTGGGAGAACTACAGGCTGTTCCTCTTTGACGGCTCTCAGCAGTTAGTCAGTACCGCTCTGGACCGGGACGCAGTGAACTTCAGCTTTAATGGGACGGGACTAACACCTGGAAAAGAGTACAGAGCGGTGCTGCGAGTGGAGAGCGGCGGACTGACGGCTGAGAGCGGCTGCGACGGATCAACAGGTCAGAAAGACGAGAACAGTCCACTCTGGAGACTGTTGCTGTAAAACACTGAACCGCTGTAGAAGTACGACACAAATATCTGTACACAAAGTACCCACAGAAATACTCATAGAAAAACTTTATTATTCAAGTTTGTGACAGAAAAAGAAACTAGTATGAAAACCCTTGAACTCACCTGAACGCACCGTACTCTGCAGCTCCGGCTCCGGTGTCGGACCTCCACATCCGCCATTCAGATGAGACCTCGCTCAGCGCCATGTGGAGCCACGCCCCCTCCGGATCACGTGACAGCTACTTCCTTACTCTCCGCCACGCTAACGTCACCGTGGACACACGGGAGGTGGAGCCAAACATGAGGGAGTGCACGTTTAATGTCCTCACACCCGGGAGGCAGTACAGCATCACCGTGACGACCCGGAGCAAAAGCCTGAACACCTCTGTGTCCGTGGAGGGGAGAACAGGTGAGTCACCTGACATGTTGGATGTTTGCACCTGAAACAGGAGGGGACACAGCCGAAGTTTGGTTCACAGGAGCCGAAGTTTGGTTCAAATAAAGTCCCAAATGTCTTTATTGTCTTTCAGCTCCGATGGCGTTACACTCGATCAACCTGAGCTCGTTGGGAGTCGACCGCCTGCAGGCATCGTGGGAAAAACCACCAGGAGACGTGGAGGCGTACACGCTGACCCTGCTGCAGGACAGGTGGGACGTCAGGGGACACCTCGTCTCTTTGTCTGTCAGTCACGTCACAAAGTGGACTTATTCTGGTAGAACGCAGAGTTGGAGTGAAGGTTCTGGTCCAGAACCCGTGAGGTCTGGCATCAACCTCAAAGTTAACCCGAGGTCAAAGAGCCGAGAAGAAATGAGCTGAATTTTATCATTTTATCATGTTTGTGTTTATAAAACCTGTTAGACCTGCAGCGGACCTGCTAATAGCTCCGCCCCTTTTTGGATGAAACCAAACGGTGTAAAACAGGAAGTAACTGCGCTGTTCTGCCTGAAATGTTCTGCTTTTATTCAGCAGAAAGATTTAAATATTAGTTTGTATTTGTTCTTATTTAAGCAGAGAGGAAGCGTCTTCAGACATCGTCAGCTGTTCTTTTAGTATCGTCATAATTTACTTGTTTCACATTCATTTTATTTTGTTAAAATATTTCAACTCCTGATCAAAGGACGTTTGTTTTCAGGCTGTAAAATAACGATTTAATTAATTCTTCAGATTTTGACAGACGTCAAAACAGTAAAAAAAAAAAACAAAAAAAAACCCTGCTTTGTCAATAAAAACACGAGTTACAGACGAGAGTTTGTTTTCATCCAGAAAGGGGCGGAGCTTAGTGCAGCAACAAATACCCAGGTGTGTTACTGAGCCGTAACGACGAGTCCCTGGTCTCATCCCGAGTCTGCTCAGTTTTGTAGCTCTTGTTCAGAACCTTCAGCTGGTTCAGGCCTGAGGTCCAAGTGTCTGACAAACAGTTTGTAAAGTCCAGTCCCGGTTTTAAAAGTCCAGGCCTGGTTTTTAAAAGTCCAGGCCCGATTTTAAAAGTCCAGGCCAGGTTTTTCAAAAGTCCAGGCCAGGTTTTAAAGTCCAGGCCCATTTTAAAAAGTCCAGGCCAGGTTTTTAAAAGTCCAGGCCCGTTTTAAAAAGTCCAGGCCA